CTTTTATATTATTAATATAGAGATTAATTTAATATTATTTATTATTAAATTATTATATCTTTCTAATTAATAATTTCAATAAACATAATACGAAATAAGAATTTCTACTATATTGTATATCCATTTTCTTGACAATCTAAATGTATATACATATATATATATATATATATATATATATATATATATATAGCCAAAACCTTTATATATAAAAAGACAAAACTGCACTTCAACAGCTGTAGTTTAAGTATTAACTTTGGCACGCTCTAACAGCTAGAATAGAATAGCCCTTACCTTATCTATTTTAACACAAATCGGATAACTTTTAATGGACAAGTGTTTTTATTCGGTAATAATATATTAATAAAGATAAGATCTTTAATAAAACACAAAAACATCGTGCAAAATGCAGATTAAAATGGAGCTATTAAATGATAAATTTAACTTTTAAAGCAATAATGCTTAAATAGTTGTTGATTAAATGCTTATTATATTGTTGTATTAACAGTATTTTAGAGGTGAAGGGCTGGGGGTGGGATGGTATCAGAAGACATTTATCTAAATGAGAAACGAAATTTCTATAATTTTTTCCTCTTGGAATATTAATTTTTAGTTGTGTCCACTGTACTTTGAGTAAAAATATAATCATCATAAAGTTCGCCACTCTTATTATTACACTCAATACATTTTGTCCCTTCGGATTAACTCTTTATCTTTTCCTTTCAGCTGGATTATACAAACTCTGAGAAATTCTCTCCTCTCGAAGAGTCATTTAAAATCTATTTCATTACAATCTTTTTCCTTTTTTTTATGATGTCAACAAATTATTATAACGCCAAATAGAAGTAAATTTTATCGAATAGATAAAAATCACACTATTATTGGTTATAATAAATATTTGATTGAATAATACATAATTTCGACATTATAATAAATTCAAATTTAATAAAATCATGTTTTAAATTTACTGATAGCTGCCATGTTGATATATTTGTTCATTAATTTTGCTATTATACTCATAGCATAGTATTTGAAATATGTAGTACCAATTAGTGGAAATTTGCTAAGTATACGTAAATTTCATACATACGTGTGTGTTGTGCTTGTACGTGTGTGTGAGTGTGTGTGTGTAATTTGTTTATATTACAAAGTGAAAGAAAGATTACAATTTTTACGTTAGCAAAGAATCAGCGATAATGATTTCAAATATCTCAAGCCCAATGGAACAAAGATTTAATTATAATTTTAATTAATATTCAAACATAGGTCAAGTTATGTTTTACTTTTTAACCAGTTTTCAATCATTTATTATGAGTAATAAGTTTCCTATTATTAGAATGATAGCTTTTTGCCGAATAAATTTATAAAATTTTAAAGAAGAAATTTTCATAAATAACGTGGTAAATTTTTTTATTATTTATTTACCATAAGAAGATGATTATTCATTTATATACATTTAAGATATGAAATTATTAGTATGATTTTAAAATATTGAAATTCTGGTCATTAATTATATAAAATAGAAAACAAAAAAGAATTAAGTTTGACAGATGAGACATCTTGAACGTATAGAATACGCTGCTTATTATTTGTCAATAATAATATATTAATGAGAATATTTAGCATCGCATAATTAGATAGGAGGAAAACTTAATTTTTGTATGGTTATTATTCACTTAGAGAGTTGTATTTAAGCTACGTACTCTGCAACGACAACGCGTGTACTTTTTAGTTATGCGATGAATATATGGAATATCGGACGGATAAATTTGGTGGAGATTTCCCCAACAAAGTCGACAATTTTCAATTCTATCGATATAACTGCTGAATGCCAGTTAATAGCGAGTGAATAATAGCGTATGTAGCCGAAGATGGCACCATGGGAGCTAAAATTGCAGGATCGATGATATTAATTGAGTTAAGTACAAGTGGCGAGATGGTGCTTCAATAACAGTACGTTTAATAAAGGATTGTCGTTGAAAGTCGTTGAAGGCTATTAGAAGGATAATGTGCGTGTGCGCGCGTGTGCGCGCGTGTGCGTGCGTGTCGGGAAACGGTGTGACACGTATAAATTTGCGATCGAAGCGATTCGTTCAAGTCGTTTGCCACGCGATCGACACGCTGTATAAAACTGAAGAATTGAAGATACAAAGAAATGATATTATGATAATCGCTCTCAAATAATATAATAATGCATAGCTTATTTAACGGTGAGAAGATTAAGATGAGCCAACAGATGCGTCGATACTCGGTATCTCGTAAAGCCGCCTAAAGGTTGAGAAATCGAGGGTGGGTGAGCGAGCGGTGTATATGGGGGAGGGGAGGGGAGGGGGGTGGATGATGGATGGATGCTGGGTGGGGGTGGGGTGTGGGGGTGGGGGGAGATTCAGGAGGATCTCGAACGAAGTGGGAGGATTTCGCTGAAAAGTCCTCGAAGCGAAGCATCAGCAAGATATCACCTATACAATTATCGTTGTAAAGTGCGCGGGAGCTTAGTCAGCAAGCGCGCCGTCTAGTCTCGAAAGGCCGTGCGCGCGACTTTACGCGAGCGACCAAACAAGCTGAAAAATAAAAAGTCTCGCGAGCGAGTGCACGAGTGAACGGGGGCGGGCACGGCGATATCAGTCTCGTACGGGGCACGCTGCAACAATCCCCAAAACGCAGACGCGGACGCAGTCGCAGAGTCGCCGACCTCTACCCTCGAGCTCTTCCTCGAGCCCCGCGTCACAGCGGCGTAGCAGCGCAGAGCGGCATCGCGACGCTGGCTGGCGGCAGCACCACCACGGCATCGTGTATCCGCCGCCATCCCTTGGCGCGCCGTGACGAGAGGGAGAGAAGAGAGGACGCAGGACGAGTGGCGTGGGCTCACCAGGCGTGGCTGTTACCTCGGATCGTCGGCCGAGCGTAGACTGAGCGGGGCTTAGCCCAGGACGAGGTGAGTGACTCGACGTCCGCCGTGGCGGCTCTGGCCGCCGAGGACCGGAGGCTGGAAACCAGCCCCGAGCTCGTTCGATTTATGCGCGGAGGTCCTCCGCTCCTGGGCCGCCGACGCCGACGCCGAGAGGCCGATGCCGCTCGACCGATGGATCACACGGACAGCCCGTAGCCCGTGAGTCGCCCGGGGCTTTGGTAGCCGGCCCTGCCCACCCCTCCCCTCGACGGCCCACCACGTACAATCGATTGGGCTGCTCGCGCGCTTAATTGCCCCACGTAGCAATTAACGAGTTACCGCCGAGTGGAGCGAGAGCCCCGTGGAGGAGATTCCGTAAGAGGGACAGAGATACAGTGATACAGAGGGACAAAGAGAGAGAGAGAGAGAGAGAGAGAGAGAGGAAGAGAGGAAGAGAGAGAGAGAGAGAGAGAGAGAGGGAGGGAGGGAGGGAGAGTAGCAGCGTAAGGAAGAGAGAGAAAGAGTGCGAGGGAGCGAGAGAACGAGCGAGCGGGAGAAGAGCAGAAGCTGGAAGACTGGATTATCGAAGAAAACACGCCGTATCGCCTTCTACTTATCGATTACATACAACACAGGATTGTTAATAGAGCGAATTTTTCTCTTTCTTTCGAATTATTTTGACATATGTATGGCCTACATTCAACGAAGGAGCACTACCGTACAAGCATCAAAGGAAGAAGAAGAAGACAGTATTCATTTAGGAAGCTAATGTTCCGTCGGCCTATCCGAGCTTACACGAATCTCGTTTCAATGCTACGTTGTTCAGTAGATGAAATTCGCGTTAATTTTGTTATGTAGATTATTAGTCGGTGCCGCCGCCATCGTCGTCGTCTCCGTCGTTGTCATTATTATTATGATTAATATTATTATTAGTATGGAATTGCAAAGGTGCGAGGAGCAGTTATCGATGTGACGTTACTTTACGTTACGATTTTTTATAAATTTTTATGGTTAACGATTCATATAGATTTTGACTAATGAAATTTATTATGAACATAACATTACAAAGTATTTGTACAAATATATTATATACACCATTATATATTGAAGTATTATTCATGCGCAACGCAAAGCCAAATGTTCTAATATAAGGTGAATTTACGAAAGAAGAGAAGTTGTATGAAACGAAGTATAATATAAATGAAAATTATATATGAGGCTCTAAATCTACATATACGCGCATTTATATATACACACACACACACACACACACACACACACACGCAAAAAAAAATATTCGTCGTTATCTCAATTTCTACTACTACTTCTAAGGTTAGAAAATTGTTGTTTCATGCGTTACATTAAATCGCTGAGATATCTTATAATTACGGTTATATGCAGTAAGTAAAAAAAGAGAGGAACAGAAAAGCTGTAAAGATGTTCAAGTGCTGCGTGTGCCATAAGAAATCGTCGAGGAGAACGAGTCAAGAGGAAGGTGACGACGACTCGGAGAGGGAAATTGACGAGGACGATGACTCTACTTCTAGCCGAGAAGACGACGACGAGGACGAGGAAGAAAGGGTAATCGAAGAGGAGCTCGCTAAGAAATTTAAGTGCCAAATGCCAAACAGTCGGGAGGTCAATGTTACGAGTGAATTGATGAGAGAGACGCTGAAGGAGGAAAACGAAGAGGACGAGGACGCGACGGAAAAGACGACGATTGAAGTTAACGGTGACGTTAAAGTGCCAAAGGAGGAAATTAAGAGCAAGACGGTTGATAGAGAAGCTTTAAAGGAGGATGTCGTTGAAATATTAAATTGCGCTGTGAAAATCGTTCAGGAAATACGCAGAGGGGAAAGGGAAAGGCTTGAAAAAATTAAGGAAGAAGCTGCGGAAGAGAGCGTCGAGGAATCGACTGTGGCGATTGCGGATGCCGTTATTGCCGATGAGGAAATAAAGGAAGAAAAGAAACGAGATGAAATAATAGAATCAGAGCCGGAAAAGTTGGCAATTATCGAGGATGCGGAAGATGTGAATTCGAGGAAAGAAAGGGAGGAAGTTGAATTTGAGGAGGGGAACGATGAAATCAGAAGCGCCGAGAAGTCGAGAGCGGACCAAATAGAGGAGATGATAATCGAGGAGTTAATTAACGATATGAATGAGGAAATCGATAACGTTCAAGAACTCAAAGAGATCGTCGGAACGCCGAACGGTAGCCAACAACAACAGCGACCGTTGACAACCGTTGCAAGCAACGAAGAAGTCGCAATTGAAGCCGAATTGCCTTCGATTTTAAGCGACGATAGCTCGGTGGAAGAGTTACTGCCGCCACCCTATTGCGAGGTGCAAATCGTCGAAGAGATCAAGAAAACGGAGCTTCATAAGATCGAGGACAATTATACGAGAGAGAATTCTTATAGAACGGACGACGAAGCGATGAAAGCTATGGGAAGTCAACGACACGACTGTTTAATCAATGCGATAACAGATGAGACGATAGCCAATGATACGAACGGTGATATACTTGACATTCCGCCACCGGTCATCCCCCCTTTCGAAGAGAGCGAGGAATTGGAGAAGTCGGAGGGTAATACGACCGAGCAGAGCTTTCCGACACCTCCGCCCATCGATTTCGATATCGAAGAGCCGGAATGGAAAGAGCAGGCGACACCGCCGCCCGACTTCCGAGAAGCCGAGAATCTCGCCTCTATGCTGAATCGCCGCGAGTCGAAACCAACGTCACCGGGTAGCAAGAGCTTGCCGAGCCCTCCGAGTCCGCCCTCGTCAGCTAGTGAAACGGGTAACGAGACCGAAGCCGAGTCGAAGAGCAGCGGCGACGAGCAGACGGCGAAGATCGTGCCCTGCGGAGTCTTGACTACCAGCACCGAGCGCGCCGTTCTCGGCGTCCAAGACGAGGACGGCGACGACTCGTTCTTCGAGGCCTCGGCCCTCGAAAACGATCCCGAGATCCACAAGGACATACCACCACGTCCAGGTATTTTTGCACTCTAGCGTGCAGTCTCTACGACCAGTGCAGAATCCAATTGCTTGTTAACGCAATCTTCACCTATAAGATTTTTAAGATAGTCTTCGTTAGGAATTGTTATGTTTATGAAAGCCTCCATTCATAATGAACGATCGTTCATATTGATATTATGAGCGTAGATTGACATGCCAATAGGTGCGAGCCATCTATGAGCAATAATTAATTAATTTACCTAACTCTCGTCGCGATATTAGAAATATATTTATTTACATTGCTTCGACCGATCGAATCAGAGTATGTACAACTTTATCGGAATTATAATTCAAGTTAGCCAGTGAGGATGAGCATAAGGAATGATTATTTTATGAATTTAACGTATAATTGCTCAATCGAGTGAACATATATGAATTTGAAATTATGTTAATAAAAAAAAAAAAAAAAAAAAAAAAAAAAAAAAAAAAAAAAAAAAAAAATTTTCTTTTTCATTACATGTTTATGTGAGCTGACGATTGCATTTATTTAAAACTTACATATACCTTAACTTTCAGGATACATTATATTCTTAATCCAAATGCATTATTACGTTCAACTAAATATTTTGTATCTTATATCTCACGTGAACTATTATCAATTTACATTTCATTTATATTTGCAAACGATTTCTTGTTTTCGAAGCAGAAAATTGCATACACTCTTTAGTAACAATTATAAATATTTAGATATTTAGAAAAGATTTATTTTTAATTTTATAAACAATTTCAATCTTATACATTAGATAATAATTGTATTCCCTACGTTTTACCGTGTAATACTCGTTAATTGCTTTTTTTTTTTTTTTTTTTTTTTTTTTTTTTTAAATTTATTTTTAAGATTACGATTCTTTAAATAAACTACCAATAAACTTTTCTTCTTGCCGAACAGTTTTCTATCAATCAACACTTCAAATTATAATTGGAATAGAAAAAGCATTGGCTTTACTTTTCGATTGTTTAAATACAAGTCGTATATCTTCAGTAGTATATATATATATATATATATATATATATATATACACACACAGTGTGTGGTGTATGAGTACGTGTAATAATAAATAATATAATTATAATATCCAAAATAATAAAGAATAATATCAGATACTTTTAAGATAATTCACAATCACGACTATTGTAAAACTATAATTTTTATGTGCTTTTGTTTGTATCATTAAATAACAAATGAAAATTTTTGTTTATATATTCTTCTGAAGACTATCTTAAAATATGTAAAATATAAGAAATAATTTATAATGAATATTATGTAAAATGGCTATACTTGAATAGAATACAAATTTTTTAAAAATTTGCAGTATTTTACTATATTTTTTAATTAAAAGATATTTAAATTAATATTTTAGTGTAAATTTATTGTTAATATTAAAGAGTTTATTATTATTCTTGTAGTAAAGAGATATAATGGCATATATATAAATAAACTTTGTTGATATTTTATAAAATGTCTTTATTTAAAAAATTAAACGGTAAAAACAATCAACAACATAATGGATATTGTTAATTAAATTAATGAGTGCACTTTTCAATAAAATAGTTATTGCTTAAGTTTTATCGAAAACTTCGATAACTTTATTTAATGAATTTATTCAGATTTTCCTAACTATCCCGATTGTGTTTACAATTTTAATCACTAAATTTGACAATAACTAAGAGATATTACACATATAACAATAATTTGTAATTGTACATTAACCTTCCCAATAAACAACTATCAATTTATTTATGGAATACATTAACTTAAAATATGTTAAAATACTGCAAATCTTGATTTTATAATGGAAATTTTCTGAAATAATACAAATTCATAATTCATATCGATAATGCAAGGTATATCCATATCAAAATTAGTCGGTAAACAAATTAATTTGTGGTTGTTAAAATAGATTTGTTAATTACGTGCAAATAGTAAAATTTTATGTTACTTTTCAAAATAATTTATCAATACGTATTATTTCACAATTAACTGGCAAAGCTTGTTTATACGAACTATTATTACTTTTAACTAATTGAACTATAAAATTATATTCAGCTGATTCAATTTGCCAATTGGCACATTAAATAGGCAATGTACTCGAGATTATTTGTAGTTCAAAGAACAAAAAACTTGTTAAATTTCTCTTGCTACGCGCAGTCAAATGTTGTTGAAGTCGATAAAAATTGCAAATCAATACTATCTTATCTGCCTTATAATTAAAACTCTCTTATCGGGAACAACATTGATATATTTTTTATATGTTGTTGTTAAGATTGAACGGTTTGTTAATAATCAAATTTATTAATACTATGGCAAATTTACCGTAAAGATTTTCCACTTGATATTGAAATTTTACAAAGATTAATCCGGAATTCATTACTCCTGAAGCTTTTGGAAATCCGTTTTGTATTGTGAATATTTCTTTTCATTTTCTTAAATTATTTAATAGATTTATATATGACTTTTTATATGAAAATATTTTCACGAACGAACAATTATCATAGGCTAAACATTAACTTTTAAGTTAAAAGAAAAAAAAAAAGAGATATATCGGATATGCGGACACTGTTTATTACGTGAGACAAAGCATAATAATGGTTTTTAATTTGACATTTTCAGTACACGAACGACATTCATTTACACAAATATAAAATTGATAATATTAGAATACTAGAAAACCCACGAATTAATTTGAATATCAATTATATTAATTATATACTTAATGTCATAGTGTATATTCATTGTATTAATCGGATTTTTTTTTTTTTGTTTCTCAATATAAAGTTTCATAATATTTAATAATATTCATTTATAACGAATGAAATTGCACTAATGAGAATATTTCTGCTTTTGTATAAAAATTTTATGTTAGTATTATATTGCATATTTAATTCAGCAGAAAGTTGTTTGATTTATATTTTTATGTGATATTTGCAATGAAAATACACTACCCATATAGACGCTAATTGAGAAAAAAAAAGAATAAGGAAAGCAATTGTATTTGATAGCACAAAATTAATTTTTATATATATTTAATATTTTATAGAAAAATTACAGTTTTCTTAATAAAATACAAACATATAAGACAGTGATAGAAATTTATGGCTCTATAGCGAAATGCGTGAATGAAAATTCTCCTTCGTAATTTTAATGGAAAAGTATTGAAAATTATCATTTCGAAAATATTTGTGCAGATATTGTCAATAATAAAAATTAATATGCATTGGTGAATGGATAATGATATAATTAATTGGAGGGATATCATCATTCGTAGGATAGATAAAATAAAAAAAAAAAAAAAAAAAAAATTTTATTGTAAGATATTTTGCATTATTATTAATAATAATAAAATTCTTTTAAACATTTTTAATATTATTATTATACTTGTTACTTGTTGTATATGTTTCATATAGATGATACAATTATTCAAATAATTTTTTTCGAATTTAAATTTTTTAAAAATACATTTTTTAAACTCAAAATGACATCCTTAGTTTAAAGACTCTATTATTTACGAAGATTTTCAAAAAAATAAATTATAAATAGCTGCTCGACGACATTCTTAAAACTACCAAAAATAATTCATTCAAAAATAAAAATTGCAATACTATGCAATAACCTATCACAGCTAATTAGTTACAAGTATTCATAACAAATATTAAACCACATACTATCTAAAATATTACATAAAATATCAGTATATTGTATTATTTATAAAAAAATTCTAACAACAAATAGTTCTACGTTAAAATGTAGATAATACAAAAAAGTCAAATGTTAATTTTTGCAAATTTATAAAATGTCAATGTTTCACTGAATTTAGACACTGAGCGATAATTTTTTTTTTCTCTTAAAAATGCATAAAAATTGAATTTCATATAAACATTTTGATAACGTATGAATATTTAATTATAATTATTTCTGACATTAGCATTATGTACTTTTACTGTGCTGAAAGAATACAAAAAAAAAACAAAAAAACAAAAAAAAAACAAAAAAAAAAACGGACAATTACCTACTATAAATTTTGCGTATGTGTTAAAATATTGATGGTATGCCAAGATTTGTATAGCCCAGCTACTTAAATTTTGAATATTATTCATGAATTCGCATTTATAACAATTCTATTAAAAAAAAGTTTTATCATTTATTTTATTATTATTAAAGTGTTTGAATGTATTGTGATATTTTTTCATAATGCCAGAAGCGAAAGAATACATTATCCATTCACTGATATCTCGTGTAACTCGTTTAATTGGATAAAATCTACGTAGAGATCGACGTATAAAGTATTGACCTTTTCTCATCGTTATACTTAATTATATTTCTGACGTATAAGAAATCCAGTTGCCTCGAAAAATTACCTTTCTAAAACCAAGATAAATCCGCTTTGTTTTGCCGAATGATTTCTTTATCAAATATTAAAATGAAAAAAGAAAAGAAAGAAAAATGATTGAAAACTTTGATTTAGAAAGCTTACTTAACGTTTGAACGAGAAGAGCATTATAATATGAAGAGGAAAGCTGCATAATTCATAATATTATTTGGAGCATGAAGAGCATGGTTATAATAATAATGTTGGGAACGAAATTCCAGTTAAATTCACCGGGCTGCTGCACCGATGACGTAATTTGCCGTAATTTAAAGCTGAATACTCAAGAGCACGTGAATATACAATTGTTAATAAAATAAATATTGTATTCGACTAGAAAAAAGAAAAGAAAAGAAAAGAAAAGAAAAATCGCCCGAATTTCGTAAACAAGTCTTGGATAAAAACCGGTACCAGGGAATATAACACGAAAAAAACCAATTGTAGTGTAGTCCAGCTCGTAAAACTTCGACCCTGAGCCTACAAGCTCCCAGCCCCCCCCCCCCCGCCCCCGCCCCCCCTAATCCCCCCCCTAATCCCATATTCGCAAATATTCTCCCAACGTAATGGCTCGTTATCGGGAGCCCGACATCCGGAATTTTCTTCCCAGACATGCTTATCATCCTCCGGATAATTTTATGCATTGCGCAAGCCCGAAATGAAAATCAAGGCTGCTATTAGATGCGAAACAAAGGGAATGAGAGAAGGTCGTCTCGTGCGTCCCTATGTAAGACACGGAAGAGAAATGGAGGTCGTTTCTCGGTGACAGTGCCGCCGGTCCCGAGGTGGCTGTCCCAGGAGGAAGACGAGCCGGAGAACAACGAAGGTTTCGGCGGCATGCAGGAGCCTCCAGCAACTCCGGTGGCCCGCGACGAGCTCGCCCTCCGTCGGCACAGGTTCTTCTCGGACCTGCTGCAGGCGGCGCGCAGCACAGCCGAACACCGCGTCAGCTTCGACCCTCTGGGACCGCTGGTGCATCCCGGTTAGACCACCACCACTCATCTTGTAATTCCTCGTTTCGATGCTATCGTGCACTGGCTCTTTATATTTTTCTGGTAGTTTGTTGATGACTGCGGTGGTATGGGTGAACGGGGTGAACGGGGGAACGGGGGGACGGGGGAGCACTAGATTAATTATTTTACGGCTCGTACTTTTCCGTACTTCCCTGTGCGCCAGAGCGAAGAGTAAGGGATCTGAGCTCACCAGACCACGCATCTACGAATCCAAGACTTTAGCTTTTATCATTTTTGTTTTTGTTTTTGTTTTTTGTTTTCATTGCATTCCGAACTATTCGTTCTATCAATAAATCGGAGTCCCATAGTTTTTATATTTTGGCATTCATAAACTTAGTTATCGTTACCAATCATTGCTAGTTTTTAAGTTTGTTCGCTCGTTGTACGTTAGTTGTATAATAATGCTTATTTTGAAATGGTTTGCTACCAAATCTCTAATTCACGTGCAAACGTTATTATCTGTGTTGCATTAAAAAGTAGAATTGATTGTATTGTGACAAAGTCGATATAATTTTGATTCGTTTAGCATGGGGTTTTTTTTTTTTTTTTTTTTTTTTTTTTTTTTTTTTTTTTTTTTTTTTTTTTGCAAATACTATACGAATTAGAAAATAGCATTTGTCAAGGAGGCGAAATAGCCAAATGTAAAAAATATTTATAAAATAAAATCTATATATATTGACAGGCAGAGCACTTAAAATTTTTTTTAAGTTAATATTTCTAATAATAAGATAATTCGAGATACGAGAACACGTTAAGTTTAAGTTTTTCGTCTTATTAAATGTTTAATTCGTCAATTTTAATCCCATTAACTGAAATTATTATTATTATTATTATTATTATTATTATTATTATATGAGAATGAGAAAATGCAAATAAATTTTATTGGCTACATTCGTGGTGATTCGTTAATAAATGTGTAAATTATTTATAATTACCGATATAACAAAAACAAAAGTTTATAATTTTTGAGTTGGCATATGACTTTTTTCTTTAATAAGAAAATCATAATCTAAACGGCACATTTGATGTTCTATTAAGAACATAATTGAATTATTAACTTTAATGAACCATTACTTTAAGTATTTATTGTTATTAAATCAATTATATTTAAATTTTTATGATCAATATATTTTTAGTTTAATAATAAACATGGAGATACGATCAAACCTGTATTTATAAATATGAAAACTTTTTTTACTATAATTTTTGTCTATTTCACAAGTTTAAATAAACCAATTGAAAAATTACTTATTTTATAAAGTTAAGAAATAAACATTTAAGAAAAAAAAATCCTCTTTTAATATCTAATTTAATATGCAAATACACTCCGTCATGGTGTGTAAATAAATACGCATCACATATTTCATCTTCTATGCGTCCAAGAGTAATTATAATTACTCTACGTGTAAATACGCAAATACATACACGCGCGCACTCGCCCATATATATTTGAAATCATATTGATGATAATATATTATAAAAACTTGTGTAAAATCAAATGTTAATATTTTGTCATTTGTAATAAACGTAAATGTTACTTAAAAGTATCGATATGCCGCAATATGAATATGTTTGTTTGATCATTTATTAACATTTATCATTTATTAAATAAATATTTAACTTTCATTAAGAGAGGCTAAATCCTTTTTCCAATGTAGTAATTTGCCTATAATACGATAAAGTCTAAGTATTATTAATGTTTGATAATTTATAGTTATAACTTTATTCCTTCAATATTTTAAATCTTACAGTATGATAATATGGCATTATTAAATTACATTATAACATAAATTATTATGAATTAATAATCAGCTTACTACTATAATTAATAAAAAATATTGTTTACACGTAACATTGTTTCATGAGTAAATCGATATTATATTGAATAATAATCATAATAATAAGATTTATTTATTGTTTATATACTATTTATAAATTACATATAAAAATGAGTCATAATTTTAGCGAAGTTAAATTATCAAAATTGTTTTTTAATTTAAATTATTTTAAATCAGTATATATTTAAAATACCCGTATATCTAAAGATAAAAATTATAAAAGAATTATGTATTATATAATTACTTTGTTTTTAATTTTCGTTGATTTTATTTTAGTAGATAAAACGATATGTTAAAATCCAATAATAACAACAACAGTAATGATATATTTTATTTTTTGTGTATTATGTCAGTTTTAAATGTGATAGCTTAACGAATGAGAATACTTTATTTAAAAAGCATAAAAATGAGAGAAAACATTTATTTACAACTAAAGTTTTATTTAATAATATGTATTTTTTGTACGGCAGTTCGCATAATATAAATTAATATAATTTTTGCATTAAATATATGCGGAAATTATTAAAAATTCAAATGAATATATTGAATAATTTATAGAATATCAAATTTCACCTATGCAGCCTGCATCTGTCAACTTGGTAAATATTTGTTAAATGTTTAAATAAAAATTTTTGTAACTATTTTAGGAATAATGTCAGATAAATTGTCGATAACATTAGAAAATTCATTATAAAAAGACTGCATTAAATAATTATTGTCGCTAATTATTTTACATTTCAAATGATTATTTTATATTCACTTTACATAGTATTATTTACACGTAAATTCCGTAATGTTAGAATACTTAGTTTTTTTTTTTTTTTTTTTTTTTTTATTCAAAAGCAGTGAAACATAGAGAGCGAACGATTAATAGATTTGTAATAGCTAAAATTTCTCTTTAATATCCAATATTATTGCATCGAACTATTGATAATCAGTAATTTGATAATTCTATTATAATGTTTAATGGTTTTATAGTTAAGGTACGATAATTTTATTAATTTACCACTGGTTGTCACTATAATTAAGCAAAAACTTGAAATTTACAACAACAACAAAAAAAAGAAACGTACCGGGAGATGAATCTTTCATTCTATTGCGTGAATTTCTCCCACCCACTTATACTCTCTAATAATAGAGTGCTCTCTTTACACTTTTCCGAGTCCGTAGCACTTGAGCTGTCGGGTTGTTTCGTTACACCAACACTTCTTCATCTTTGAGTTTTTTAAAGTATGAGCTGAGATTTAATATTTTTCACGGGAATGATAAAAATCGCGAGAAAGGCGGGGAATAATTTCGTAGAATGATACGTGTGGGAATATCTTATGAGAAATTTGTTCTTCCTAAAATCCATGAAAGTATGGAAATTGAATTTTTATTTTTATTTTTCTATTACAATCCATTGACAGAAGAATGACTAAATTTTAGATATAATTGAAATTTCCTTAAGGATTGCTTTTTCGTGCATTTCCTTTTCTTATATATATATATATATATATATATATATATATATATATATATATAAGAAAATATATAGTGCTATTATCTTAAAAATTGTTCATTATTTAACATTATAATTGGCTTTGTGTATTGAAATTTCTTGCACAAAAGAAAAAAAGTAAGTATAAAAGTCATGATGTCGACTCTTATAAAAATGCTATATTCTTGTATGTTTGTAAGCCGTCTAAGGCCAAGAATGGAGCAATTAAGGAAAAATTAAAATATCTATTATAATAAATATTGTTTTTATTATTATAATTAAAAAAGGAAGAAGTAGAAGAAGGAGATGTAATGACTTGAGTAAAAGGATGTTTGCAATATTCGGTAAATATTTATAAATCAAATTATTTATAGCTCCGAAGAATTAAAACAATAAACATGATGTCAAATTGAAACCTAACCGCCACATTACTCACACTTGTACGCCTACGACGTCTTCTCCTCATATATATATATATATATATATATATATATGCATGCTGCACGCATTTATACAAGGAAATGAGTTAATTTTTCGTATAATGACAGCTAAAAGTAAAAGTAGTGACTGTGTGTGTTAAATGTTGCCACGATTTATTTATATATCGTACTGTATTTATAAAACCCTGGCTTTGATTCCGTATTTTCGTAATATTTAACTACGCACTTCTGAAATTTCTTCTCTTCCACGTTTCTCAACTATGCACGTATATGTTTACCCTTCAATAATACTTTCAATATTGTCAATATTCTCCCATGTTCAAGATAAGTCAACATTCAAGATTTTTTGAGGCGACTTCACTACCGCCATAATTATTATTACACCTTATTTATTGACAAGTTTTCGTGTAAACGAAAGAGAAAATTAAAAATAAAAACTTAATTAAACATATGCGCTTAATGCATTATAATTTATAATTGGATTTTTTTTTCATTTACTTTCTGCTGCTTTACTTTCTACGGATGCTATTATCCAATGTCTCTTATAACACATCTTTTGTCCTACGAGACCAACAAAATAAGCTCCGATGTGCATTAGTTTGAAATAAAAAATTCGCAATCTAAATTTACACTATTCTGATGTATGACATATGAATCCGGTGAGAAATTAATGAAAACGAGTACGTGGACGATGATCCAATGGATCTCGCTCGAAGCTTCGATGCTAAACAAAAGGACGCAATGATGCACAATACGAACGAGTGCTCTTTCCATTGACGCTTTTATCGATTATCGTTTTTATTTACTCGCCAGCACAAAATCGAACTGACAATTACAAACAATTGCCCTCCTCCTCCTCCTCCTCCTCCTCCTCCTTCTCGCGCCATACGCAAATATGCGATGTCAAATCCATGCTACGAGATACTGCAAATGTCCCTGTAATTCAAAGCTCGCGCATTAACAATACCATACGAATGGCTAAAAACAAAAAGCAAAATACAAATAGCAAATATACGTGGCCTCGTGTAATCAATGTAGTTGTAACCGAACGAAAATTGTAGGCTGTGAGCACGACGAGCGCGAGGAGCACCTGGAGGAGCTTGTTAATCGGCTCGAGAGCGTGACTAAGCGTCTGGAGCAAGTGTCGACGTCAGCGCCGATTGTGCAGACCCAGGAGATCGCCGTTCAGACAAAGTCGCCCTCGCCCGAGCGCTCGCTATCTCTCACCGAAGAGTCCTCCCAGTCGTCGTCGAGCTCCCGCGAGTCCACTGTCTCTGGCGCGTCCGTCGTCGAGGTTGTCAAGAACATGTCGATCGCTGCGTACGAGGACTTCCTGGCTGGTGCCCTCCAGGACTACATACAGTTCAGCTTGCAAATTGGGGCCGAAGTCGCCAGCCATTGCAAGCTCGTTCAAAAAGCCTTCGAGTAAGTAGTTCGCCACGTCCATTTGTGCATTATGTGCTTTCCTTTACCAAAAAAAAATACTTGCCCAGTTTCGTTAATACGACCGGCTGATCGGTGACTTTTACTTTATCCGTCAATCAGAGTATCAATCAAAATCAAAATCAAATCAAAATCAGAGTATCAAAATCCGAGAGATTTATTTATTTTATCGATCCGTCCATTAAAAACAGATTGTTTCAATATCAACTTTGAGCGCTTGAGATTTTTAAGGCCATCGTAACGATGATTAACATTGGAAAAGTTTCTCTGTTTTAATATTACTCCTCTCACTCAGCAAGGCCACTTCCGTTCATTTCAATTCAAAATTCAAAATCCAAGTTAGAGTTGAATTATTAAAATTCAGACTGTAATAGAAAGCGATGAGATTTAATTCTCTTCGATTCGGGAAAACAGAAAAAAAAAAAGAAGAAGCAAAAAAATAACAAAAAACATAAGAAAAAACAGTGTATCAGATCCGGACGTATATTTTTAATTTTAAATGACACTTGCAATTGTATTTAGAAAATTTTTGCAAATTTTGCAATACGGAATGTTCTTTTTACTTTCGACAGAGTACTTACTGAATTATGTGTTATGAAATAAAAAAATTCATTCAATTTGTTTTTGATAATTTATTAATGATATTATCAATATTTTATATTTGCTAATAATATAATGTAGGAAATGAGTAAATTGAAGTTTAACCTTCAACGGAAAATTTTATGTTGGGCATTAAGCCACGAAGTTACAAACTGTCTTGTGTATTTATGTTAGCCCACATACTTGACAAATAACATTTATAATTTGTGTTTTTATTTTATATTTTAATTGTACATGAAATTTTGAAGAATGAAAATATCATATCATTATTCTGATAAAAGAAGAAGAAGAAGAAGAAGAAGGAAAAAAAAGGGAATAAAGAAAGAAGAAAACGGAATTTTATTGTATTTTTATTACATACATGGTACTTGCATACGAGCCAGAGGCAACAAAATTATTACAACAAAGACGTTTGAATTTTACATTTCACAAGGTTGAATATGATGAATATCATTCTACAAGTTCAAATTCTTAAATATAGCATTTCAACAGTGAGATATTGAATTGTTGTTGTTGTTCTCTTTGCTACATTTTAAACAACATAGACGCGAAATTAAACGAATACAGACACGATTTCATTCAATAATACTATAAACTATATGTATGTATATACATATATACATACATATATATATATATTTAGTCGTTTGTATTTATAATTTTTGATTTTTAATTTTACAATAAAATTATTAAAATTGTTTAAACGAACCGGGAGAATCAATCTGAATTTTGTCTCTTTATTTTATTATAATTTTTTCTGATACTTATTACTTCTTACTATATGTTAAAAAAGGAAGAAAGAAAGAAAGAAAGAAAGAAAAAAAATATAAGTAGTTTAGTCTGTTATATCGAGTTAATTTGCTGCTGCTGTACTACAAACGTCAAATAATTAGAATAATAATGGGGAAATATTAATTGAGGCGCGATGGTGCTCGAGTGAAATTCTATCAAAGAGTTGTAACTTCAAGGATACACTTGTGCACTTTTTTTTTTCTTCAACGACTCGATATTTTATCGAGCGGCTGCACACGACACCCACGATAAGCCGTAAGTGAACGTCGATAAATCAGCGTTGATTATTGCATCGATAGGATTCAGCTGCTGTTTCTCAAGACGGCGACGACGCGCTCAGCCCCAAATCAATCGGAGCAGATGACACTTCTCGGGCCCACTTCCGCGCATATCCAGAAGGTGCAGGATTTCCGCGAAAGTCACAGGGGCTCGCAGTTTTTCAATCACCTGTCGGCTGTCAGCGAGAGCATAAGCGCACTCGGATGGGTGCTCATTGCGCGAACCCCGGTCCCCTACATCAAGGAGATGAGCAACGCGGGCCAATTCTACACCAACCGCGTACTCAAAGACTGGAAAGAGAAGTAAGTTGGTCGTTTTATAACGATTTTAGCTTGTAAATTGCGTGCTCCGGTAGCTTGTTAATACAAAATATGACAATGTTGTTTGAAGAGAATTTTTTGGTTGTAATTGCAAATAAAGACATTACAAATCTAAATCCTATGATAAATTAATAATAGTTTGCCAATCAATTTCTTTTGCATATAATGTGGACGGTGTAGCGGCAGAATTAAGGGTCCCATTAATTTCTAATCACTTTAAAAAGTTCCTTCGCTTCGAGTCGGTCATTCCTACATGTAAAAATCATTATTTTTCCATTATCCGATATCGTGAAATGCATATTTATATGCTATCGAAGTAGGAGAAATAGCTTATTAAACGCGTGGGGTTAGCTTAATTAATGCATAAAACAATGGCTTATAAAATGTCGTATAAAGTGTCTGATGTCGATGGCTGATATTGCTGATATTGCTAATTTGTAATAAAAACCTAAATTACTTTTAGGGATAAATTACACGTAGAATGGTGCAAGGCTTGGGTGAAAACTTTAACGGATCTTCAGCAGTTCGTGCGAGAACATCATACGACCGGTTTGGTCTGGGCTGAAAATGGTTCTGTGCCCCCACCCCCGCCACCTCTTACAATGCCACCCTCTGCTGTTGCACCACCAACTAATGACGATAGAAGTGCACTATTTGCTGAAATTAATCAGGGCGAGAATATCACAAAAAGTCAGTGGGACATTGTGCTTACGTACCATTTAATTTAATGTTGATTTGATAAAACCATACTTGTTTTTTAAGATTTTAAAAGTATTATTTCATATTATGTTACAAGCAGCTTTGGGATCGTAGAAAATAAACTTTAAGTATTAAGCTCGACAAATCGTAGATGCGACTTCATGATTGTAGCCAATGCCTAATTAGGATTTAAATAATTTGAAAATTAGCATAATCTTGCTGATCAGTTTTGTTCTATTCTATTCACTGCAAACTCATCTTAATCAAGCTGGTCAAGTTTATTAGTCTTAATTGTTAAAAATCGCTCACGATCGCATTGCTTATCAATACTCCATACGCAAAGAAACATAAAGAATTTAACAAAAAACAAAACAAAACAAAAAAATACGACAACAACAACAACAAAAAGAGACAAACAAATAAACAAAACAAACAAACACGAACAAATAAACAAGCGAAGCTTTGTAAGATTTTATGAATTTTTACGTGTCTTCGATATATTAATAAAATCAGCCTTTTCGACTCGAAAAGTTTAATAGACAAATAGATTTTGTGCATCGATAAAGATGTCATTTAACTTTAGATATGAAACATTGCGTAATAATGTAGATTATTTATACAAGGGTGTATATCGATTAAATCAATGCTTAATAATTAGCCATAAATCATCATTATGTTAAAATTACTTATTGTAAAAAGTACATTGTACGTTGTTATGACGTTGATAAATGTACAAGGTACAGACGAGATTGGTGATTGGAATTTATTAGGAAAATGGAAGAATAAGCCATTATCGAGCATTAGATATGGGCACGATCCTCGATAAACCCAAAGATTCAATTCAATTCGATTCAATTGCAAAATTTCATTGGCTCGTGAGCGTATGTAAAAAAAAAAAACATTAATATAAAGAGAACAAAAAAAAAAACATTAATATAAAGAGAACAAAAAAAAAAACATTAATATAAAGAGAACAAAAAAAAAAACAAAAAAAAAACAAAAAACAAAAACAAAAATTAATACACTCGAGATTGAATATTGACATGTTGGACGTTGCAGATTTAAAAAAAGTCACTTCAGACATGCAAACGCATAAGAACACTAGTTTAAGAACGGGACCAGCTCCATTCAAAGCTCCAGTCGTAAGTAATAATTCATCATCACCGGTCAAGACGACACCCCCAGCTAACGCCCCAATTAATAAACCACCGGTTTTCTGTCGGGATGGCAAAAAATGGCTAGTCGTGAGTTTATCTTATAACTATTAAAATATTTGTGAATTATTGTGAATGAAAGTAGCGCTTATGATGCACATAACTCAACTATCTATCTTTTCTGTTCTCTCTCTCTCTCTCTCTCTCTCTCTCTCTCTCTCTCTCTGTTCAAAACAGGAATACCATGTAGGAAATAAGTCAATCGTCATTGATAATGCTGAAATGAATAACGTCGTCTACATTTTCCGTTGTCAAGACAGTTCGGTAGAGATCAAAGGCAAAGTAAACTCCGTCGTTATGGATTGCTGTCGTAAATCTGCGGTTGTCGTTGACTCGGTGGTGGCGAGCATCGAATTCGTGAATTGTGAAAGTGTCAAGATGCAGGTAAGATTGATTAATTATTCATAAGACATTGATTTGATAAAATAAAAGCAATTTTATTAAAACATATTCATCGTTATAAAAATTAAAAAAGAAAAAAGAAAAGAAAAGAAAAAAAAAGAGTTATGTAATAATCATAGAAAAAAATACATTATAAAAACGGTCTTTTTTCTTCTTCTTCTTTTTTTTTTTTTTTTTTTTTTTTTTTTTTTTTTTTTTTTTTAATACGAACTAACTGATTTGTTGCAAACTAATTTGTATTGGACAATTGTTCAAAGCTCTTTTTTACATTATTGTTTTCTCTCACTCTCTCTCTCTCTCTCTCTCTCTCTCTCTCACTCTCACTCACTGTCTTAACGATCCCAAATTTTTGCAACTTCAATTATCTTTCAATTTATTTGATTATCCTTTATTATATTTGCCAAATTTTACAGTAGATGGTTTAACTATTACTTCAGTTGTTTTACTTTCCCTTATGAAATGTGGCTCTCTTGTAGCATACGTACGGTTATTGTGATGTAATCGCATTTTCTACATTTACGTAGATTACCAAGTTATTAATTATTAAGGCCAATACAAATGTACTTTGCAATTTATTTAATGTCAGGAAATACGCACATTATTAACAATTATTATATTATTGGCTCTTTTAGAATTTGCAATGCCTATCATTTTCAAATCACTAATTGTTATAACAGTCTACGAGTTATTTTAAGCCGATTTGTGATGATTTGATGATATTCAATTAGAAAATTTACAATACGAAAGCATTGCTTAAAAAAGCGAAAACACGCATCTTCATTCTATCCAATTAACTCGTCCTTATTACTCTCATTTTTCTCCAATGCACTTCTTCGTTCTCTCTACAGTCGATTTTTTCCATTACTTTACATCACATTTATTTGGAAGACACACGCACACACGCGCAAGCGCACGCACGCACACACATCCACGCGCACACATATATAAATCTTGTGTCGTTATCGAGAAATAGTTAAAAATAATTTATATTTCGCATCCTCGTCACTTGGTAAAATTTACTTACAAGACAATCGAACGAATATGAAATTATATTAATAGGAAACGATAAATAGTCTGAATTTTCATTTCATGTATGAAACTTTCTATTCCCATAATCGTAAATTATAAAATAATTTTTTTTTTTTTTTTTTTTTTTTTTTTTTTTTTTTTTTTTTTTTGACGCATTCGTCGACAGGTTTACTAAAAATATTTTGCAAATCGTTTGTCTTTGTTAAATAATCTCGCATAAAGAGGGACTTTTTAATGATATAGCATGAGACATTGCGTGCGTTGATTTAAATTACTTTGTCGTCTAGGATAATTGATATTGAAATAACGTTTTACAGGTAAGCTTTGTGCATATTAAAATTCAGACATTCGTTGTAAATGTTAAAATAATCTTGTTTATTATTGTTTACTGACATATAATTATTACTTGGGATTTCACAAGATGCGTGATGCAGGTGATTAATATCTTTTAATCTAGGAGATAAACAATTTGATCCTCTTGCTGCTGAATTAGAGTCTCCACAAGGAAAATTAATTTGTAAGATTTCCTTGATCGTATTATTGGAAGGGTGTGAGTTAAATATAGTCTCTCTTTGTCCAAAGTCTCGGGCGTACATGGCATTATCGCTATAAAAATCATCAGCGTCGATTTTATCGGTTATGTTCTTCCAGTCAGTCTCGGAATTAATATTGATCGGCTTAGCCATTGGATCTTGGTTATTAAAAGCCGCGTTATTATTATCAATATTTGTATATTTCATCGTCGCAGAAGCATCTCTATCCTTATTGTATTTTAATTCGAATTTATTAATATCGTGCCTATTGAAATTATTATTGGCAAATCCTTGGACATTATAATTGGATAAATTATGTAAATTTTCAAGCTTGAAATTCAAGGGTAAATTATTATCATTATCATCATTATTATTGTAATTATTGTCATTGTTGTCATTGTTGTCATTGTTGTCATTTTTCTCATTGTTGTCATTGTTGTTGTTGTTATTGTCGTCGTCGTCGTCGTCGTCGTCGTCGTCGTTGTTGTTGATATAATTTTTTCTGAAATTGTTATCGTATAATGGATTTCGATTGTCATTGTTACATCCCGCGGGTATTTTTAAAACTTGTAAATTAATTTTTCCCAAATCCGCGGGATTATTAAGAAATTGTGAATTTTGGCTTTGGATGTCGTTGCTAGCGAGAAGTTCATTTATATCTCTATACTCGCCATTAATTTCATAATTATTATCCATTGCATTCTTCTCTTGATAATCATTAAAAGTTGTAAAGAAATTATTGCCATCGTCGTTCTCAACTTGTGCGCATTCGAGAAAATTATGAGCACCAATAATTTTATTTAAAATATCCACTGTGTATTTTTTATTGAAATTTGCTTCCGTAGCTTTCGATTCCTTACACTTACGTTCATTCTCGATTAATTGGTCAATTAATCTGTCGACGCTTATATCATTTGATGAATTAATTAAGCAAGTTAAGCTTAAATTACTATTTAAATTGAAATCGTCTTTATTTTGATAGGCAGTGTTATCATTGTAAATGGCATCGCTCTCGCCGTACGAAAAGTATTCGAGAATATTTAAATCATTGGTATTGGTAATTGCTTGCGAATCAACACTTTGAGCTGACAATAATGAATTACCATTAAAATTCTCGTGAAATAATTCGCTACTCTCGTTGCCGTTAGCATTTAAATAATTAATATTCTCTTGCTGTTGCATCGCATTTTTATAGTCGAACATATTACCATCCACGGAATATTTATTAAACAAATGAATGTTGAGATTATTTTCAAATTTGTTATTGTCATTATAGGCCGTTGGCCGTGAATTATTAATGGCATTAGCCTTACAAGTCCTTATCGCGCAAGGAATGTTACTCGCTTTATTTATCGGAGAGCTTTCGTGAACATTTTCCGTAATGTTATCGTAATTAGATGCGATTTGAAATAAAAGCTCATTTTTAATTTCGAAAGGCTGTTGCAGTAGCGTAGCTTTTAATTTCTCATCCGTGTCGCCTTTATCAAAAATTTCGATTAAACCCGACTTTGACATATTGTTCTCGACTTGATTGCTCGTCAATAGTTTGGCATCGTTAACCAAATATTTCACGTCCTTGTTGGAATAATTTTGTCCCTTACTGCAGTGTATCTCCGTAATATTAATTTTCGATAGGCTTTTATCCAATTTTTCTCTACAATCCATTGGCTTATTGCCCCTTAAAAAAACATCCGATCGTTCATTTTCTTCTTGGCACTTAATCTTCATATTCTCGTTGATTTCTGCATCATCGAAAACAACATATTTCTTTCCCCTACTATTACTCGGATAGGTGACACTAGTTTTAGATCCATCGCGAGTATCGACGAAATATCGTAAGTCAAGATTTTTGTAGGCACAGTCATTCCACATATCATCGAAACAATCATAATTATTAATAATACTATAATTTTTAATGCAATATAAATTATTATCATTCGAGGAATTGTGCGAATAGTGATTTTGAAGAGTCATGTGAATGTTTTCTAGATTTGCTTTTATTTGATCTAATGTTTCCCAATTTTCATTTTTCTTATCATTATCAATATTATTTAAGCTCAACATTGTGTCTTCCAATGTCGATGGGAGAATACGAGAATAGAAAATTGTGGGCGATTGTAATTTATCATTTATAATCTCGATGTCGATGGTTGCTTGCTTTTCATTCGAAATAGCCTCTGCAAAGTCTAATTTCGACTGAACCACCTCAATATCAATATTCTCATACAAATTTTCCTATAAATAATAAAAACGATAAATTCGTGACTTATTCGTCGTAAAGGTAAAAAAAAAAAGAAAGTAAGCCAACACTTATTGAATTGTCGTGATCGCGTACCTTGTTGGCGTCTGCATTAATATTCTTATCGTCGTAATTATTTATTAAAGTGTCGTTGGATGTTGGTATGCGATCGATAGTTAAATTTTCCAATGATTTCCTAATACTCAGTTTATCATCATTAAGAATCTTATGCTTATCCCTACCTTCAATCTGGACATTACTGAAAGCATTCTTATATTTACTTCTAAACATTTAAATGTCTTATGATATTATTGTTATATTGGCCGTAAATATGTTGCATATTATATTGCTTAATATATATATATATATATATATATATATATATAATATAATAGCGATAAATACCTTTTTGCGCTTATTCGTAAGCACTTTTCGTCGTTAGAAGTTAATTTTTTTATCATTGAGTTATCAGCGCCTGAAAACGACGTACTTTTTTTTGTCAATCAATGCCCAATCCTATTGTTATCCCTAACTTAAAAATAATTGCGATTGAATATTAGAGAAAAAAAAATTTTTTCTTTTACCACGCTCCTTTATTCCTTTGAGTAATGAAAAATTATTTTTTTTTTTTTTTTTTTTTTTTTTTTTTTTTTTTTTTTATTGAAAATAAAGTATCCCTTTTGAAACATATGTGGTCTTTCAATACTTTTAATCAACACATTATCCCGATTATCGCGTTAAAAGACATTTTTCATCCAGGAATTTTTATCGCTTAATTTAGATAAACATAGACATAGCTTAACATTATGTGAATTAATTTTACTTTTATTTGTAACATGTAATAACGGCCAAGTACCGTATTGGGCTTTGTAGGTAAGAATGTTGACCTTTAATTCGAGATCGCGAACTTTCGAATCAACATGCATGAAATTTACTGTATTTGCATTAAGCTCCTCCTTCCATCGGATTTTCCATTTAATCCAGTAATAAACAGCCGTACAAAGTAATACTAATGCTATAGCCTTAAACGAAAGAATGATGGAAAATAAGAAGATGAAGCACAATAAGGGAGAGAAGGATATTGTGTTTTATTAAAAGTTTAATCGTAAGGGCCAAAATGTAAATAAATACATGAGTTGTGTCTAACCATCCATAAAATTGTTTCATTCTTCAAGCAGTCGATAACATCGGTCACTACTTCATACCAGATGTAATAAGCTACGGCGAGAGGACAATCCGTCCAATTTAATTCGCAGGTCATCAAGACCGGCTCCAAGTTCCCACCTAACGTCAATTCATTTTATCAATCAAACGGACTCGCACACCACCCAGCATCCCCTTAATTGCTTTTCATTCTTAATAATTTTCTCTAAAGAATAATTTATCGTACGTACCAATGTGCCAGTGCATTTTTCAACTCGTCACAATTAAGCATTACGATTTAGACAATAGGACAATCATCTGATCCAAGACTATCTGTCATACCCGATTAAATCGGGAATTTGAAAAACTCATGCATTCATATAATACTGCGCGAATTGCAAATTAGGCTAATGGATGTTTATTATTGACATTTTCAATGCAAATGTCAGTTGCCGCTGAGTTTTCTTTCTTCTTCTTTTTTTTCTTCTCTCTCTCTCTCTCTCTCTTCCTTCCCCCCATCCTCCTCATCGCCCCCTCACCCCTACCCCCTACCCCCTTGCATTTACGATTTTCCATTTGCCATTCACTTCAGGCTATCTTTCTTCAACATTGTTAAATTGTTAAATTTATTGTTCGCCTCGTTGCAGGTATTGGGAAAAGTACCAACAATTTCTATTGACAAGACCGATGGATGTCAAATGTATCTTAATAAGGATACACTGGATGTCGAACTGATTACAAGCAAATCCAGTGAAATGAACGTCATGGTGCCGTCGGAAAACGAAGATTACGTAAGCAACTCGCACCCTTATCTCTTATCATTTATTTTGTTAATCTTACATTATTCTGACGTTCGATTAAGTGGATTACATTTAAGTTGGAAAAAGTTTGCGATATTATCAAGTACATTGCTTATGTGACAACTCGCATCTTATAAACGTACGTGCAATTTGCCAATTATAATATTATTGCCTTAAGCAAGTGAAAGTAATTTTAACGATATTATATTAATAGAGATAAATAAATGACAAATTATAACCAAAAAAAAAAAAAAATTACAATGTCAATGTATGCACAGGGTGAGCTTGAGTAGCTGTTGTAATATCTCTATTTAGATATGGAATATTAATATTATAAGATGAATAATATAAAATTTCAAAATAAATCGACGATCCATAATTTATTAATTTCGTTAATTTTTCTGTCTATCCAGGTGGAATACCCAGTACCAGAGCAATTTAAAACAGTTATTACTAATAAGGGACTTAGTACAGTTGCCGTTGACTCTCTCGGATAAATGCGAATAATTTATTAGTTAAACGAAAAATATACACACACATACACACACACGAGCGCGCGCGCGCGCACACACAATTTATATTTTTTAACACTTGCTAAAGATAATTGATTGTTCAACTATTTATTATTATTTATATCTTATGGGCAGAAATGTAGCCTCGGGTTTATAAATTGTCAAGTAATTTCTCTATAATATCTATATGTCGATTAACTATTGGTTGGAATTTATTAATTGCTTTTACTACTCTTACTATTTTAATTAATCATTTCTAATTGTAATACGCTATTCTTTCTTATCTTATCGTTCCTTTTTTTTTAATCATATTTTTTTTTTTTTTTTTTTTTTTTTTTTTTTTTTTTTTCATAAAACTATTAGTAAGTGAAGTTACTTTTATCAACGCCAATTAACCTTATAGGTTATATAGAAAACAAAAACAAGAAAAGAAACTGAAAAACTTTTTAAATGGAATAATGTAACATTTGTATTTTAGACTGTAAAATCTCGTAAGGAATGGCGTAAAATTTTACATTTAGAATAAAATTTGTCGAGCTATATAGAGAAACTTTCAATATGCCATTACGATTTAAATAAAAATTCCAGATCTTTTCTCTTGCACTTTTATACATTTACAGTTTTTTATAATATCGTCTACGAGACTTGTCGATGGGAATTTGGGAATTGAGAATTCGTATGCCTAGGAATTTAATAAGTATCGTCTATTAAAATGATTTGTACAATCAGTGCTTTCAGATTCCAATGGTAAAGTTTTAACTCCCTGACACATACTAATCTTAGATATCTATAATCCAGCGTTGAAGATTGAAAAAACAAAAGCAAAAAAAAAAAAAACAAAAAACAAAAAATAAATTGCCTAAGAGTATTTAAAAATTAAATGATAAAAATACGTATGAGAATTGTACTGTAATTAGTACTGTAACAGTATCGAGTTAACTTGCAACTATCATAGAGACTATAAAGGACGAGATTATCCTTTGAATTTACAGCATAGGACTGACTGGTGTCCAACTATTAGTCATTATTTAATTTATCCATTGATCATTAACTCCAAGGTTAACAAAAATTATCGTCGGATTAAAATTGTCAAATTTGAAAATTTTTTTCTTATCTTTTTTGTCATTTCATTAATCATTTCCAGGAATTCTTTGCTTATTATTTTGATCTTCGAATAAAAAATTATTCAACTAATTGTGTATTTGATTCTATTTCATAACCCTTTACGCAAGATTATTTATATATTTCTCTCTCTCTCTCTCTCTCTCGTCCCCCGTCCCCCGTCGTCCGTCCCCCGTCACCCGTCCCCCGTCAACCGTCCCCCGTCGCCATTCTCCCGTCCAACAAATGACGGATACCTAAACGTCATCCGATATTTATGGATTATTCTTTAAAATTTTGTTCTTGCCCCTAATACTGATTTATCGATCGATCGATGCAGTAATGAATAAAGCAAGGAATTAATAGGTTTTATTCCGATTAGTGGATTCAAACATTTTATTTAGTAATATGTATAAATTGCGGTTCACTCGTAATTCGAGCTCGCGCTATCTCGCTTCAAAATTCTTCTGCCAAGGCAATCGTTTAACATTTTGTCAAACGACAGATTTGAACTGCGTGTATTTAAAAATTTTTCTTTCATCTCAATCACCGATGCACAGACGTCACAACTATTTAACGATGACATGTTTATTTGACAATAATAATATTAATGCATTAATAATGTCCAATAGCTACAATTCAAAATTCATACGGTCGATAATAAATATTAATACGCAAACAAATCAATTCGCTCTTACAACTTTATATACGCATTTTGGTTTATTATTATTATTTATTATTTATTATTTATTATATATATAAAGTTATTATTAAACACTTTCATTGATGTTTTTACATTATATTTAATTTCAAGGATTCCTTCAAATTTCATTTCTCTTCAAAAATTTTATCTCCTTGATTTCCCATAGTTTCATGCATTAACAATTTCTTCAATTCTAATTATCATTGTTTTATTTAATATTTGCGTGACTTTGCATTGTATTCTCTTTTCTTAACTTTTTGACATCCGGAATCCTCAAATTCACAAAATAAATACAAACTATTCCGGAATTACTTTACTGGTAATGGTAATATACAAAAGCAAAATTAGATGATGATTTCGTTGCGAATTGTTGTACTGCAACGCGCCAAATGTTTTAGAGGCAAAATCATTCTTTAATAAAGTAATGATATATAAACATCGGTAATAGTAAAATTATATCTTCTGGAAGATGCATTGAATTGAATTTGGGATATAAATTATTATATGTTTCAAGTGCAATTATACGGAAATAAGAATTGTGAATTTACCGTGTAGTTGGTCAGAATATAAAAGAAAAATTTTTTATTTCAAGCCTATGGCGACAATTGCGCTCTGACGTCATCATTATTTGGCCTTTCTTCTCCAAAGCATTTGATTATTATAATAATTATAATAAATATACGTTTACATGTATATTGAAATTCAGAAATTATCTCACAACTTTATCGTAATATTGAAATGGACGATTTAATCGATCGATCGCCAGTTTATGCAAGCTGTGCTTTAAATTTTATCAATACATGATGTGTAATTGTTTATACGGTAAAAAATATCATATCATGCGTAATAGCAATTTGGAAGAAGCCGATAAAAAATTATTGCTTAATATAGTTAAATATAACCACACCTACGTATGCATACGTATGAAATTATCTTGTCGTATACAATGTGTGTGTGTGTGTGTGTGTGTGTGTGTGTGTGTGTGCGTGAGAGAGAGAGAGAGAGAGAGATAGAGAGAACAAAGCAATATCAAGAGTTAATCAGCCAAATTATATAATGTTGTATTTTGAATTAAATTAAAGTTGCAATAATCCGTCCCAAAAGAAATTCAAATATACGATCCAGAAGATATTTGTTAGACTACGAGGTCGCCGCGTACAGCCACAGCCACACTCTCGCTCATAAATACAATCATATAATACTTAATAATTAATGCAATGTACACAACGATAGTTTGAAGATGCCGAGGAAAAATAGAGATCTCTATATGTATATTGGGTGAGGGGCGGGAGAGGGGACGAGGGCTTGTCGAATCTTATGGATGATCGGCGCTGCTAAAGTAACTCGTCTGCATCATGAAGAGTTTGTCGATGGGATTGTGCACAGCCGAATGGAGACTCTCCGAGAGGGAGAGCATATCCGGTCCGACTCCACCGGCACTGCCGCCACCCCCGCTAACGCCACCACCACCAGCGGCCCCGGTACCTGACCCAGTCCCGCTCGCGTGATGGGAGTGCGAGACGTCCGGGATCCCAGCGGCGTTCTCGTTCTCCCCGATCTCCGTGCCGTCCATCGACGTGTCGCTGCTGTAGTAACTTTCGCCCGAGTGCACCGGGTACGCGTCTGAAAGCATAGTCCGCTGGCATTTTTATTGGGCTATTATTTATCGGGGAGGCCTCGCGCTACTTGGCAATTACAATTGCTTAAGGATGGACGGATAAGGGAACTCGGCTACTTTAGTAATACAATTCTGTCGGCCGTTTTTCACTATCGGCGAGCTAGAAAATTCGAGGATTAAAATACGCCTGACAATAATAATAATTGTTATTAAAAAAAGAATTTTTTTGTAACAGGTTGTGCGTTTATACACCACAATTCACCGTTTCAAGGAGCTATTTATTATTGCAAGGTATTTTCGCATTAGATGGCTAATTTGACGAATAGTCCTTTCTATTGGCAAATACGCATAAGATATTCATACGGATTAATTAATTTATTATTCCTTGACAAAACGAAAGAGCCTTAGATTTTCTTTTTCATTTCTTCGCCAACGACTTTAGACTGAAATTTATCAAAAATTTATTTATCATCTGTCGGTAATGTAGAATTGTTCAAGGCAGCAGTTGATAAAAATGAACGAAAAATTCCTACTTTTTTAAAGTTTTTTTTGTTGTTGTTTTTAATTGGAAATTAATTAATCGAATGCTCATGGAAATTTACTGCCAAAGACAATATAATTGAGAGGTGATTTTTTTTAATTACAGATCATTATTATTTTTTTTTACAATTCAAACAGAGGCAGTTTTTTCCTATTAATCCTTTTTATTGTCATTACGAATAATTAATTCTAAATTATTGTAAGTACTGTAAGAATTTGCAATATATTCGGCATTAAAAAAAAAAAAAAAAAAAAAAAAAAAAAAAAAAAAAATTACATGTAATTACAAATTAGTCGTTATAATGTTAATGTATGTATTTAGCTTATTACTATTGCCAATGAAACGATATAATTAATGTAATTTCTTAATAAAATAAATTGGGTAATATTAAAATTTGTTTCAAGTATAATTCGATCGTAAACTTGCAAAAAAATAATTTTCTATTTTCCTTTAATTTATCATTTTGAAGACAATTATTAGGCATTGAGGTAAGGAGAGGAAGAGAGAAGGAAGAAAGGGAATTCGTCCTTAAATTATCAATTGCTAATTAGTAATAATTTTTCGCTTAATCATGTAAAACTTTATGTAATCGAATGGTATTTATTGTGAAATACTTACCGTCGGGTGAGTAAGGATTATTTGGATTAAGCGGTTGTGTCGATGAAGGGAAGTTCGACGATTCTCCATCTCTCATATTTAATGCATTCATATAGTGACCTAAACATTAATTCAATGCTTTCATTAATTATTTTACCATGAAGTTAAACATGCATTGTTTTATAATGAAATTCTAATATCTCCCCGTCGTGCGATAAAACAGATTCCAATCAATGTCTCATTAAAATTGATTTTTTGCACAGTCAAGTAGATACTTTTACACGAATAAGGCATCACGCGTCAATGATCGAGTTTATATATAATTTTATTATATACAATTTCAATCAAAATTGTTATCTCAGCATATGATCTATGCTATTGGCATTAATGAAAAGCTTTGATTTTGTTATTATTTTATAGGATCGTTAAATGAAATTAAAACAATTTGTAAATTGTATTGGGAATTGTTGTGGTGCGTAAGTGAGAGTTTAAATCATAGTTATTAGCGCGCAGTTTTTTCTCCCACGATAAGACCACCCACTAATTCTGCCTTAAATTTGCTGATAAAACTAACATTGATAAAAATACAATACTAATGTGTGCGATACAGGACATATTTTCTCATCTTCCCATTCCAGACAAAACGAGTGAAAAGGACTTTAATTAACGAATGCATGTTTTCATTAACCACGGCAAATCTACAGAGCTCATAACAAATAAATGGATTTTTCAGTTTAGATAACGATAACTCCGTCTATAACTCCGCAGCTATTGTTAAACGACGAAAAAAAAAAAAAAAGAAAAAAAGAAAAATAAAAATAAAAAGGATTGATCCTTGGTTGTGCTCCTTTCAAAAATCTCTGGGCTTTTAGTGAAAGCAGTTTTGTTTCTAACTAATTTTATAATAAAACGAGAGTGGGCCAAGCAATTGCAACTCACTGTGATCGCTGTGGGGACTGTCGGGTTTCCTCTCCTCCTTAGGCTCCTTATCGGAACCTGGCTCCGCCTTCACCTTACGCTGCATCTTCTTCATCTTTGCTCGCTGATTCTGAAACCAGACCTGGACGACCCTGACGCTAAGACCGGTTTCCTTGGCGAGAGCTTCCCGGACCTTGCGACAGGGCTTGGGCGAGACCTCGAAGGAAGCCTTGAACTGGCGCCTCTGGGCGGAGGTCAGAATCGTTCTCGGTCGCTTAGGTCCGCGTCGGCCATCGCGCGGTCTACTATCGTCCAGCAGGTCGTCGTCTGCGCTCAAACGAACCAAAAATCACGCCTGTCTTATTTATTCTTAATTGGCGCTTCCCTTCCCTTCCATTATTATTATTATTATTATTATTATTATTATTATTATTATTATTATTATTATTATTATTGTCATAGTCAGCGAGAGACGTATCGATTGTTAGCGCTGGCGGAAAAAAAAGTGTAATTGGCGGGCGGGAAGTAAGAGTTAACTGTCCCATTGTACATTGTCGCGCGATGTACTGCCGTTGGCTTTTTCATTATTTTGCCAATAATTCTTATTTAATATAATCAAAGTCAATGGAATGATAAGCTGATCGAAGCTTGAGCGGAGCCGTAAACTCAAATATCAGACCGACATTTCTCTGGCTCTCGACATTCGCCTTTCGCCTGATCGACTTGAAGCGAACCAGGGTAACGTAGCTAACACTATACTACTACATTACTACTACATGTAAATGATAAATAATTATCAAAAATTTTATCACGAGCATTGCAAGGCGATAGATAAGATATTGACAAGTGGTGGAATTTTGTAGTGGAAAAAGCAAGATGATAAAAATAATCAGACATTCATTATTTTCTTAGATACTCGCGAGTGGTTGAATTTCCGGTAAGAATGCATAAGCAAAGTCATCATAAACGTGAAATTGTCCCGAATTTATTTAAATACATTCGTTTAATCATTTATTTACAAAACCTACTAACTTGCTCGCGAGCTCGCAATCTATGTATCTGTGTAATTGCTGATTTTCTTACTTATTTGTTTATTCGATCAATACGCGCCTTCGTAAGCCAGAGCAGAAAATTAATTTTCATTTGAACGATTATTTGCACACTTGTGTGCAAGCAAGATTTGATGATTTTAAGATACGTGGGTATAGACAAGGATGCGATGATAGATAAAATAGAACGATCGATGTATGAAGGATGAATGTATGCCAAGTCAGCTCGTCGTGGTTGCGTAGGGACATATTTTCAATAACAATTTCAAGATTATTGGGCTAAACACGTGTCGTTGCTTAACTTATGCAGATTAAAAGCTCATCTTAGGTGTGAAGGGGCTTTCGTTATGTCGATCAATAACTTTTGCGCATAGCAGCTCGACGATATTTCTATAATGAAACAATAGTCAATATGGCTATATAAGTTATACAAGTAATGGCTCGCCTTTCATTAAAATTCTATTAGACGCGGAGTAGATGAATGTTGCATTCGTTGGGACGGCGATAGGCTCGTGTTAATCGAATGTCGAACCTGACGGCGATCGAGCCTACTTCGTAAAGCTCCCGTACCGTGGTAAGTCATCGTCGATAGGGAGCTTTCGATTTAAAATCTCTTCAAATAATGAGCCAGGATTGTGATGTATTAGCAACGTTATTCGTGCGAAGCGAATTGGTCGTCTCGTTAACAGTCGTCCTAATGTCCAAACCCTTGTTAGCACGAATTATCCTTACGCATGGCGAAAGCATCGCCGACCAAAGATATTACAAAGATCTTTTTTACCTTCTCTGTTCGTGTTTTCTTTTCTTTGGTTTTTTTTTCTTCTTTTAGGTGGTAGTTAACATTTATTAAGATTCCATTTAACGAAAAAGTTGTCAATTTCTCGAATTTTCTATTCCATTGAATAGTCCTCGATGAGTCATATTGTAGAGTCAAATTGAGAAAATGCCGAACGAGCCGAGCGGTGACAATTTTCGTCATAAAAAAAAAAAAAAAAAAAAAAAAAAAAAAAAAAAAAAAAATGACATGAAATTGTCATAATGATACATAATGTTCGTGGAATAACCCAACCTCGTTAAAATTTTCTCTAAGTCCTTTAAGGACTCACGACACTTTTTGTAACAGATGCACTCGCGACTGCTTGCTTATAAATAAAATTCCACGGCTACGCAGCAGACGCGCGTTCGACGTTGTCCTTCGTTTTCCCTTGGCTCGAGTTAGCCCCTTTGGATTCCTGGCAATTGTCGGCACATGACCGGGCTCGCGCGCGAGTACACCCACCACCTACCTTGGAGGCTGTTCATGTTGTAGATGTCGTTGGGGAACTCGCGCTTGCAGAGCGGCTGTCCGTGCCTGAGAATGAAGTGGGCGCCCCTGAGCAGCGGGTCGCCGCAAATGCAGCAGACGAAGCAGGCGACGTGGAAGACGGGCCCGTCGGGCCGGCCGTTAACCGACTGCACGGGCATCCTCATCACCAGGTCGTTGCAGTCGATCTTCTGCTGGCAGCGCGCGCACTTGACGGCGTAGAGCCGCTTGTAGTCGGCCCTGCAGTAGAACTTGCAATCCCGGGCGTAGCAGGAGTCCGAGAGGGGAGTCGAGCACTCGGCGCACGCTAGGCAATTCTCGTGGTAGTTGCGCTCGTCGACCCGCATGACGTAGCGGTCGGCGATCCCGTGGCCGCAGTTCGCGCACACGCCCTCGATCAGGTTCGACTCCCGTTTCACTGATATCGTGCCTTCTGCAAGCAAAACAATGATCGCCTCGCTTATTCACATAGTCACGGACCTAGGCTCGTTGGCCAGTGTTCTGGCGCCGCACCTCCCGGACGTGGTGCGCGAGCCGGAGGGATGGAGGGTGACACAACTACCATTGTCGCGAGGTAGCAACCAATGGCTAACGGGATATAAGCGAATCAACGGACGAGCTCCGCTCTTGCCGTTTCATCTATTTTCTTTTGTTCCTTCGATTCGAGGTGAAACGAAGGTGCGCTCAACGAAAGGAGTTGCCCACTCTCCTCCAACCTCCACCCCCTCGCATCAACCACGCTACTCTTACTCTTACCCAATATACCGAAGAAAAAAAAAAATAAATAAATAAAAAAAAAAAATAAATAAATAAAAGCGAGAAAAGAAAACAAGAGTGAACAGCGCGAACACTTGCTCAATGACCAACATTGTTCGATAATGTTCATAAGCAGCTTTGCGGTTTGTTAATATCATTGCGCCGAGTCATCAAGAGACTTTTCATCAAGTCATCAAGTATAGTATAGCGGTATAGCGTAACGCACGATGCAATTTCAAGTTATAAGTAGTAATCGACTTGTGCATTACCACATAAACTTTATCGATAATGTCCGACTCTCGATTGACTAAAAGTATGGAAGAGTTCGCGCAATTCGATATAAATTAATACTCCAATGTTGTACCGACGTTTATTAAATTACCGAATAGCTGCCGTCCGGCTGTTGCCATCCAATTCGACATAATTTTAATGGAACGCGGTGAGTGTAATAAGCGCGTATCTGCTTCTACGAGATAGCAATTAAAGTAATAACGAACTTGATAATAAATCTCATAGTTTGTCCGAGGATATGATAAGCTAGCAGTGCCTCGATGATCTTCATAATCGTCTCTAAGATAAGCAATATTATGATCCTTATAGATCCGGTATTTATTAGCAAGTGTGCCGAGTGTCATAGCAACGTTTAGCGAATGGCGATTTAGCAGGTGGCGAGGACAAAGGGCGGAAGACATCATTGGAGCGCGCGAAGAAGCCGTTGAGAGAGCGCGAAGGATGAAAGGTGGTCGTGACGGGAGGGGTGGGAGGGGTAATTCAAGAAGCAGCGGGAAGAGTGTGGTAGAAGAAGCGCCATGTTCACCCTGTCGACCATCCGCCTGGGCTGGGGATTCACTCGTAGGGCGCACAAGTGTGGAATAGCGGGTGAGGGATTCTGTGAGAGCCTCTAGGTGAGAAGGCGAAGAGACCGAGGATCCGGGGCAAGAAAGAGGGAGTGCCGCTGGGAGGGGATGTCGAGGCCGAGGTGCGCCAAGTGGTAACTTACCGCCGACGTTGTTGTTGGCGGCTTGGCGGAAGCCGATGGGAGGCCCGACGGAGAGGGCCGGACCCATGCCCACCTCCGTCATAGGGCCGAGCGAGCTCTGCACCATCGCCGGGAAGTGCTCGAGCATGTTGCCGCGGAGCTTCCAGGGCGATCGATCGTCACGAGCGTCGCCGCGCGCTCTTTGGCATCCTCACTGGCATTCGTAGTCTCGTTGAGCACTAGGCACGCGAGCAACGACTGCGACAACGATAACGATGACGACGATGACGACGATGACGACGACAAAAGCGACAACGACGACAACGACAACGACAACGACAACGACAACGACGACAGCGACAACGGCGATAGCGACGACGGTGACGACGGCGACAGCGGCGACAACGGCGATAGCGACGACGGTGACGACGGCGACAGCGAAGACGACGGCGGCGACGACGACGACGACGACGACGACGACGACGACGACGACGACGACGACGACGACGACGACGACGACGACGACGACGACGACGACGACGACGACGACGACGACGACGACGACGACGACGACGACGACGACGACGACGACGACGACGACGACGACGACGACGACGACGACGACGACGACGACGACGACGACGACGACGACGACGACGACGACGACGACGACGACGACGACGACGACGACGACGACGACGACGACGACGACGACGACGACGACGACGACGACGACGACGACGACGACGACGACGACGACGACGACGACGACGACGACGACGACGACGACGACGACGACGACGACGACGACGACGACGACGACGACGACGACGACGACGACGACGACGACGACGACGACGACGACGACGACGACGACGACGACGACGACGACGACGACGACGACGACGACGACGACGACGACGACGACGACGACGACGACGACGACGACGACGACGACGACGACGACGACGACGACGACGACGACGACGACGACGACGACGACGACGACGACGACAGGGACGACAGACCACGCGCGCGTTCGGGCATCGACTCGCGCTCCCGTTCGCGCGCGAGCTCCTGTGGTGACTCGGAACGGCGGGGGAGGCGGGCCGGCCTGCCCCCGACCGATTGGTCGGGAACGCCCCGGCGGCCAGCGCAATGGCGGGGGTCCTAAACAGCGGTACTCAACCGAGATCCCTCCCGGCTCCAATCAATACTCACCAGAACTGCTTGGAATGCTACGGAATATCCGCCTCCTCCGCCTCCACCTCCTCCACCACCTCCTCCTCCTCCTCCTCCACCACCTTCTCCTCCTATCCGTGGCGTGCCCACTCCCGCGGAATCCCTCGCCACCACCACCACCACCGTCACCACCATCGCCGGCACCAACGCCGCCGCCGCCGCCACCGCCACCGCCACCGCCACCGCCACCGCCACCGCCCCTCACCAACCCTCGTCGTCCGTCGCCACCACCAAGTATCGTCGACCGAGAGGAAACGCATACGTGCTCTGCCCGATTTTTCCCTTTGCCTGTCCCATTGGCTTAGCGCTCATTGCCCTTCCTCCCGCTCGTTCGCCTTTACACCGATACCTTACGAGGTCGCGATTGAAATCGGAAGATTCGCGCTCGAAGACCATTATTAAGACGGCCAACATTATCTCTGCGTAGTAAGGATTTTTCGCGATATTGGATCGTTTTATGCACACTGCTTATTCACCCGAACTTCCCTCGGCGTTCCTTCGGACGCGAAACACACTCCACCGATTAATAAGAGCTGCTACATTTATTATTATTATTATTATTATTATTATTATTATTATTATTATTATTAAGTAGACTCATTGTGGCATAAATGTCATACCGTCTGTCTCGTGTTCATTTTACCAACGTTAATCGGACGATAAATTTATTAATCTCGATGTTTTAAAGCTGCTAAAGAAAGGTAAACAGCGGTTGGCTAGCATAAATCAGAGATGATACAAAGGATAGAGAACTATAATTAATTTTGTAATATTATAGAATCATTGTACGATTAATCCGCTCTCCGCGATTCGACAACACATTGTCTCAACTGCTAACGATTTAACGATTTCACATCTTTAATAAAGCCAACTTCGATGTACGTTTCGTGGAATATTTTATATTTCGTTTCATTCCAAAAACATACAATGTCCTATCGCTAAAATATCCTTCCCCTCTGATACAATATGCATTATAGTACTACACGGAGAATATTTTAATAAATCACGAAAAAACGTTTAGAAAATCATATTTTTCTTCTTTTTTTTCGTGCCCATCCATGGAGTTCAATTAAGTTAATTAAGTTTCAATTAATTCGATGTTGAACTTCATTCTGAAATAAAAATAGACAATCCATGATGACAATTTCTCGAATCATTATTATATTTATAAATGTATCCACATAGTGATAAAATAATTTCATAAGTAATGATAATCGATATAATTAATAGACAAGCTATCCTTAACTCGCAATTAAAATTGATTTTCATCTTACTAAGCAAGAAAAATTTTTTTTTTTACAACCAACATACAGGATCTACATGTTCAAATATGTAAGCATTGTATACTCTATATAATATATGCGGCACATATGAACTGATTTTTCGGATATTGTTATTACGTTGCAAGTATTTTCAAAAATTTCATAATAATTATTATTCCCTACTGGAAATTACTTTTTGAAAAATTTTAAAAACTATATTCCAAGATTAAATAATTTTATTATTTGTATTAATAATCGGGATAAAAAATTTTATTAGATACAAAGTAAGCTCAAGAGAATAATATTCTTTTATTTCTTTAATATTTTATTATATTAAATTTGATATTTTTTTATTATTAAAATTATTTTTACTGTTTATTTATTTTTATTATTTACAAAAATATTTTAAAAAGTAATACTGAGAAATGATCATACTCGGCAAAGGGATTTATTGTATTGATTATCATCTTTGAAATTCATCCATACACACACACACACACACATATATATATATATATATATATATATATATATATATTAATAAAATATTGTTGATATTTTACGAATATTTGTCATTCAAGCTACTCATAAATTTTTGTTATAATTTCAAGTTCAATCAAACTTTTATAACAAAATAATTTTCCCTTATATTATTATATTATTAAAGTATATTTGTATGCTTGCTTGAAATATATATTTTAAAGAATTATTAAAATATCTAATCTATGTAATATTATAGATGGTTTATCGAGAATGTGTATGCATAAACAAATAATTTAATAAGTGCACTCCATTTCTTCCATTTTAAAGGTTATTTCGTTGATAAAATAAATGTCAATTAAAACTTATAATTGATTTAAAAAATATGTTATTTTACTTGTCATTAGAAGTAATAAAAATTTATATTTTATAAGGTATGAAATACATTTACATTAACTGAACATGTATTTGGTTTCTATGAAAATTTTATGCCAATGAATGATTATTATAATGATGTATTCTAATCCAATGGTAATACACGATCTGTTTCTATATTAATATTAACTAAAACGGTTTAAAATTTGAAATTATTAACAGTATTTTTATATGTAATTAATGGAAACGAACAAATTAAATATTTTTACAAATTTCTGAACATTCATTAATACTTATAATGATAATGTCATTAAAAAAATCGCTGAAAATATTATTATAGAGTACTTTTTAGAAATATAAATGAAACCGTGAATGCCGTTATTAAAAGAATTTAGAATAATTTGAAAAAGATTATTTCTATCTTTTGACGGTTCATTTTTTCATGTATACAAGCGATGTTAAAAAAGACATAAATTTTTCACTGAGTTATTTCTTCAATAGTAACATTATTTTGAATAAAAACATTGCATTGTCTATATGCATTGTAAATTAATGTTGCACAATAATGTAGTTTTTAAAAGCCTTGAATAGATTTTTGTATTCCTATATTCTTTTGAAATGAAAGAACTTGGATGGTTATTAACTTAATCAAAAATCAATTGAAGCTGTTTTAATTAAATAGTTTATTATAGTGAATTTATTCAATTTAATTGAAAATGTATTAGTTCAAATTATTAAGCGATTCTTTAAATTTTATAAACAAAGAAAAGCACTTTCCAAAATTCAATTTCATTGGCATTTTTTTACGCAAACAGAATATTTATTTCAATAACATAAAATTACAAGAAGTGAGAAACTTCGTCTTGGATAACATAAAGGCGATTTTGAAACAAAATAGTATTCCTCTTTATTAATAAAGAAAAGGAAGTAACTAAAATATTAAAATGTTGATAAAAAAAATTATATAATAGGATAATAGGTACGGCATATAAATATATGCAATTATAAAAAGATAGCAGTCGATAAATAGGTGAAACGAAAAAGACGTAAAGATGATATAGAAGTAAAATAAATGTAATAATATAAGCATACGAGGAAAAATTAGGATTCGATAGACATTAAATAAAATAGAGAAATTAAATAATTAGAAAAGAAAAACATTTAGAAAAGTAGAGTAATCTAAGTAATATGAGCAATCAAATCACTAAGCACAAAAGCTAAAAAAATCAGTACACATAAATAAAAATGAACGTTAGAAATTTCTTACATAGATTTTATAGAATTATTTAGTATAAGTAATCAAATATTTAAAGAACTAACCCTATTAAATAGATTGGTTCAATAAATTACAACAAAAAAAAAAAAAAAAAAAAAAAAAAAAAAAATTATTAAAAAGAACGTGAGAGGTATGATGAAAGAATAAACTAAGAATTAACGTCGCCATCTTAAGAGTCGACCGGTGGGGCTTGGCAAACCATTTTGGAAAGATCAAGTGTCACGGTGAATATCAATCAAGATATTTAATGACTGGATACTCCAAAAAAATCGGTACGAATGGCAGTTGTCCTCGTGCGTCGACTGTCTCAGGGAAAAATATTGTGTTCGCTTTGCAGCTGGCGATATGATTTAAAAGTTTTGACTTAGCATTTCTATCATGATTTCTCATTTAGGGATTTTAACCACTGATACTCCAATAATTGCATACTTTAACAACCCTGTTTCGCTCATTTTCATGTAGAGTTAAAACGTACCTCTCTAAGCATACAACAAATTTCGAGCTTACGAATGCTTAATTGAAATATGACATCACTGCTATGCGCCAGGGAAATGAGTAAGATGTAGGTGGAAGTAAAAATAATGGAGTTAATTAAATGAAATGTGAGCATGGAAG